ATTCTTTAAAAATCATCCTTGAACTTGTAGTAGGACTTGAAATCCTTGAACTTGAAATTGGACCTATAGAGATTCGAGCGTATATAAGGCACATGTTTATTATTGCAAAACTATATAGATATAGATGTAAATAAATCGATATAAAAAAAAGGCCGTGAAGAGGATGCACGTGTGGTGAGTTGGCGCATTAATAAAAAGGGTTATTTTCAGTGCAAATACAAAAGGGTTTATCAGACGATACATCGTCACGCGACCTTGGCTACGGTCTACGAACCATAATGCCCTCTGGCATCGCTATGGTGAACCTTTAAGAGAGAAAAAAAAAGGGAAAAAATTTAGTCGGCGCTAATCCTAAATGCCGCAACCGCAAAAAGGAAGCTACACCGCAGACGTATCTCATTCTTACCGCAGATTAAACATTTACAGACAATCTTAATGGCACATCAGTCAAAAATTCAAACCGCTTAATATGCACATAAATAAGTTCATAAAGCAGACGTCAAATTAACATTTTATTAACCATTAACCCCCCTTCTTGATAACGATGATAATGATTTAATAATGTCAACTTAAAATAACTCTGCATGATTACTTCACTATAATCACTTAATTTTTCCTTCCTTTTAATTACTTAATTTTAATTCAGTTATTAAATTATTAAATTATTTAATTATTTAATTATTTAATTACCTAATTACTCTTTCGTGAAATTCCGAATTTAACGAAATATACCCAAGAGTCTAAAATATAAAAGAGAAATATTTTGACGAATCAATGAAGTTTGGAGAATTTAATATAATGAATGCGCGGGAAATTAAATTAAGAAAAGAGTTAACGTAATTTTCGAAATGAGATTTCTTGGTGGGATTACTTTTTAATAGGTGCATGTAAAGTCAACTTAATTTCATAAAGAAACAAGACCATCTATCTTAAATGTAATTTATTATCCTAGTAGGGAAAAAAAAATAAATAAGAGAAGAAATAAATGTGGTCAGTCACCGAAGCTGCCGGCTGCCATTAAACTCCCTCGATCTAACGATATCGTTTATTTACGTCGACCTACTGATTATCTACTACGATTATGTAAATTATTACACGATTTAGATTTGCACGTAACTTGGTCTACGCTTTTTTAATTCCCTTCTCTCTCTCTCTCTCGCTCTTCTATTTTTTATCCTTCAAATGAATTCCATTAGGTCAATTTGCCAATTCTCAACTAAAGACAATTTTTCGAATTGAAGAAAGATATTTGCAAATTGATTTTTAAATTCAATTTTATTGTTAGTTGCAATTATTTGGTAATAATTTTGCTATTTTTCCAAATTTTAAGAACTAAGAATTATATTTGTCTAAAATAATTTAGAGAAAATTTGCTAAAACATAGTAATTTCTATCAAATTTTCTAAGGAATTTTCTAATTCAATTTTCTAAGGATATCAAGTTGAGACAAAAAAAAGTATATCAAAAACATTGAATCGCAACAATTTTTGATTTTTTGTCTTAAATTTTTTATAGCCTTATTAGAAAAAACTGTATATATATATATTAAAGGAGAAAAGAAGAAAATTTTCTGGAAATTTAATTTCATTTACTGTAATTGGAAATAATTATATGTTATTAATTACAGGTGAAAAAAAATTTATCGAGAGAAAAAAGAAAGAAGGATGAATTAATTTTTCATTAACATGGAAATTAACTTCCTACTGCTTGCCTTCGCGAGAGATATGATGAAGTGTATAAGAATTATCAAAAGAATAAATTTAGACTTATTGTTAGTGAAAGATAAATTTTTTAACTATAAATAAATTAGATTTTTTTCATCTTTTAAAATTCAACGCTGTCTGAAGTAATTATTAAGTTAACAAGGAGTGTTTAAGTTACCTGTTACTGACAGAATAGTTTTCTTTTCCTATTTCATTAATTTACATAGTGCGCTTAATTTATTTTTACTGGCGCATATTTATCGCACTTCTTTCCTCTATTTTTATTCAGGTTGATATGCTTTCAAATATAGCTGCAAGCGTGATGCACACAAGTCTATTTACTGTTCTCTTTTTTTTTTCTTCAAAATACGTTACATTTTAATTCAAATTTTTTTTTTTACATTCTCATTTATACTAGAAAGTATTTTCAATTCAATTTAATTAATTGTATATATACATGAAAGTAAGATGGTAACTGGGAAGCAATTTTCTACACGAAGTGTAAAATTTGTAAATTTATAATTTTATACCATTTTTTGTATTTTTTTACTCAAATATTTTTAAAAACTTTGTTTTTTAAGATTTTAATGTTGATTTTAATTTCATACTTCAATTTAAAACTTTAATTTAACACTTTAATTTAAGACTTTAATTTACATTTTACATTTAATTATACTTTAATTTTAATTCAACACTCTTATAATTTATTCTTTTAAAAATTTTTAATCTTAAATGCTTTTATCTATAAATTTTATCCTAATAAGAATAATTTGATCAAATTTTTATTAAATACAAACATATCTAATAAATGCAAACTAATATCAAAATAATGTAAAATATAATTTATTAGCAATGTTGATGTATTAGCAATTAAAAAGTTGTATATTAGTGACAAAAATTATTTTTAACTCCAACGGATTTTGCGATGTGAAAAATTTTCTTTTTTTCTTTTATAAAATATAACTGCGTAGAATTTAAATCCATTTTAATAAAGAAATTCCAAATCTTTTCCCAAATCCGTTAAAACCTTAATAAACTGTATATAGCATTTTGAAAAATTTAATATTCTTCTGCTTGAATATCTCATTTTCAAAATAATCTTTATTAAAATTTTATATTCGCAAATGCAAAAATCTTTCGGTTTTGTATGTATATAGTTTGCAACAAACAGCAAAATTGAATTTAAAAATTAATACAATATCTTCAATATATTTATACAATATTCAATATATATACTCATCGAAGATATAGTATAGGTGTTTTAATTTTTAAAATTCGATCCGTTTGAAATAGAACAGTTACAAAAGTTCTTCTATATAATTTTTATGTCTGTTTGCATCATTATTTATTTATTAAGAAGATGTATATATGATGTTTGGTTTTTACAATAATTCTTTTAATCATTTTTTTTACAATTATTTTAGAACCAATTCTTTTACAATCATCATCTTTATAAAGATAATGCTTTAGAATTAACAATGCATTATTTTAATAAAAATGATGACGATGACGATTATTACAATGATGAGCAGATGATAACTAACGTAAAAATTTTTAGTTTTTACAATTTTAATGCAATTTTATATATATTTAAACATAAAAATAATTAGTTTTTACAATCTGAATGTATTTTTATATATTTTAAGCATAAAAATATTTTTCTCTTACAATCCTAATGCATTTTTAAATATTCAAACATAAAAATCTTTAGTTTTTAAAAATTTAAGGCATTTTTAAGTATTCAAACATGAAAATCTTTAGTTTTACAAATTTAATGCATTATTTTAATGAAGATAATAATGATGATGACAATAATAATAGTAGTAATGCTGATTATAACAATGTTGAATATGGTAATTTTGATTATGATAATATTGATGATGATGATAATAATAATAATTAAGCTGATTATAATCACATTTTTTCTAAGGATATCAAATTGAGGCAACTCTTTGATTAATTTTTTGTCTCAATTTGATATCCTTAGAAAAACTGTGTGATAACGCTGATTATGATAATAGTGATTTTAATAATAATAGTGATTAATAATATTAGTTAATAATAACAGTGATAATAGTGATTTTAAAGATATTTTAACTTTTAAGAATTTTAAATTTCAACGTATAATTCTAATGATGATGATGATGATGATGATGATAACAAACATAAGAACATGTTTGTTAAAAAGTTTGAATCGTTGCTTAGTTTCTAAAAATCAAATACTTTTATGCTTCAGCAATATTCATCATTTTTGTGATTTCAAACAAAATTGTTGGTTCCTACAAATTTTAATGCTATTTCTTATGATGATGTTCCCAAAAATAAAGAGGTGTTGGTTTTTAACACTGTATATGCATTTGAAGCAAAGAATTGTTAAAAATTTTGGAAAATATCTTCGTTTACATCATCACAACATCATTATCTAAATCTTCATTAATTAATCTTTAACATTAACATCATACAACACAACTCCAGAATGATGTTTTTAAACCTAAGGATGTTTGAGTTTTTGCAATGTCAATGCATCATTTTAACAAAGATGATGGTGATGATGATTAAAATGAGTGATGGTGACAATGATAATAATTAGTCTAGATGATAATGATAACAATTGTTGTTGGTGACAAGGATAACAGTTGTTGTTGGTGACAATTATAATGATAACAATGATAATAATAACGTTAGTAACCATGACACAAATGATGTTAATCTCAAACAAAGATTTCGCAGTATTAAAAATCCATCCGTTAAGAATCAAACAGTTATGACATATTTTAAAAACTCAAACATCCTTAGCATTAAAAACATCATCATCTTAACCAAGAACACAATTTAATGTTTCTGTTTACAACCTTTATAGTGTAAATATTTTTCAATATTCTTTTGCTTCAATACATTGAATATATTCACTTGCTTCTAAAATTTAATAGTTACTAATTTTTAACTTTCCTCTTTTACCGAAAGATCTTTAATTTTTCTACAAAGACTACGGAGTATAGCAGAGTATCGTATTGCGGAGTATATCAAAGTTGGGTTAAAAATTATCAAAAGAAAGTTACGGGGAATTATTTAAATAGACAAAAATATACAAAAACATTTGTTTTGCCTAAAAGACGTTAAAAAGGAGCCAAGGGAAAATATGCAGATATCAAGAAGTAAACAATCAACATCGACCGAAGCACGTGGTCACAAGCGCGACAATGCCTTGACATATCCGCACACGTCCCCCTCTTTTATAATCGAAAATTATTATCCACCACAGTCTAAATAAATCACAAATGCTAAAATAAAACTCACATGATCGAAGTGTGCTGTGGCCTCGTATTTAACCCATTGCCTGTAGGTGCGTCCTGCACCTGTGTTGTACTGGTCGTTATAGTCCTGACCGCACGTTTATCCTTGAGTATTTTGGAAGCGCTAAGCGGTGTGGTCACGCACATTGTCTCGTTATCACACGATCACCTTTAATACTCTCCACTTTCTCTCTCTCTCTCTCTCTTTTTCTCTCTTTGCACTTTTTAGTTGTACTCACTTTCGTCGCACGACAGACACGTGCCCACTCCGGTCACTGGTCCCGTTTATTTCTTTTTTTTATACAAATATCACTTATTTCTTCTTGTTGGCAAAGAAGAAACATTCCCCCCCTAAAGAAACAATGAATTTACCCCCTAACTTTCTTTTTTATTTTAAATAAATTTCTTACAAAAATTCACACTCATCACACTTTTGATAATAATCTATTTAAAAAAAAAAATAACGAGTGTCACGATAATCGCGAATCGGCACTCGAAATTTTATTCTCGCGTGCATCGGGCACTAACGTACCAACAACGTGTATTGTAGCACATCCCACCTCGTAAGGCGCCACAGGCTTACTGAGTGACTGAGTGACTGACTGACTGAAACCTAGGGGCTCAGCGAGAGCCACGAGCCAGCGGGCGTGGGTGTACACGCGCTCTATATGGTGGGGGACTTGGGAATTCATCCCATTGGCCAGTGACACGGGAGAATTTGAGTGGGGTAAATTTCAAGCCAATCAGATAATGTGTGACTACGCGCCGACGACGAGGACATCGAAGGACGATCAGCATTCCGCCGCGAACTGTCGACTCGTGCGGCACGCGTTTTCTTTTATGTATATTTTATATATTTTATATATATATATATATATAACGTACAACAGATAAAATCGTGTCCCTCTTATAAAACTCGATCGCCAACGCAAAAGGAAGGAAATCACCCACTTTGAGAATAGAATCGGGTTTTTTTTTTCTTTTTTTTTGTGGTTCAAAGATAGAAGAGGAGAGAAATTCACTCGAGTGTGACAATGCGGGTTTGTTTAACCGATATCGGATTAGGATTTTAATGATGAGCGGCAAGAGACAATGTTTTTGTGTATTTTATTCAAATTGGATTTACTCTTTTTTGAAATCGTTTTTTTGGGTTTTTTTTAGTGCGCGAGAATTATTTTGTGCGTCGAAGAAAAAATTTATTGAAAAGTGATGATAGTTGTGTGTTTATCTCGATTTTTTGGACAGTGAAATAAAAAATGGAACTGACAATGAGTAATCGTACAAATTTATCTCTATGGACATTTAAAATAGTTTTTAAGGTTTTATATAAGGAAAAATGGTCTTGATACTGATTTTAATGAGGGAAATTTATAAGGATTTTATAGTTTTCGCAAAAGTAGTAAAAAAAACTGTTTTGGATTTTTTCTAAATTATTGTCATGGTCAGTATCTTACGCTATAAATTTAATGTTTCATTAAGAAATGGAGTGTAAAAAATAAATTTTTCTTTTCGTCCACTTTTGAATAAAACAACCACTTTTTGACTAAATTTCAGAGTCTAAAACCATCATTAGCACCTTAAAAAATAATTGAAAAAGTGATTCTAAGTGATTGAAAATTATTTTTACTTAAAATTAGGTTTTTTTTAATCATTTGGAATCAATTTTTCAATTATTTTTTAAGGTGCAGATGGTTTTAGACTCTATTTTTCGAATAACAAAATGTCATAGATTTTAAGAGTTTCAATAGAAAAATTTAATTTTAACTCAAAAAATGATAAAGAATTTATTCAGTTTTACTATTTTAAAATTAGAGATTAAATCCATCACTAAAATTAACTTCCTTTTTTTCTAAATTATTGTCACGTTTAATCTCACGAAACTTTTAAATTTTTCTACTAAAAAATACAAAATTTGACTCATTTTATGATTTTTTAGTTGAAAAAATAAAAGAAATTTTAATTTAAAAAGAAAATAATAATAAATAGAAAAAAAATTTTACTTTCCCTGCTACAAAAGTAACACAAAGTGTCAGTATATTTTTAAATTTTTTTGTAGCAGAGGAAAAAAAATATAATAATAATAATATTTTTGCTAAGATGAAATAAAAAGTAATTCTGAAAAAATTCAAATATTTCTGCTTTTTGTTAAATATTTTTCAATTTTGTGTCAGAAATAAAATATTAGCGTAAGTTTTATTCAATGTCGGAAGTAATGTTAGAGCCGATTTTTTGCCAATATTAGAACTGCGATTGCATAAAAATTATGGACAAAAAATCAATAATAAATAAATTATTATTAATGATTAAATAAATTTCTCTTTACTTGAAAATAATTTTTTTTTCTTCATAATTGAAATCTTGGGACAATATTGGCTTAATGTTTGAATTACAAGTTTGTATTTTCACTATAAGAATTGGCTCAATATTGTCGGTAAAATTGGTACAATATTTAGCTAAATATTATAAAGTAAATTTCAATTGAAATTATTTTCTTAACTCGCAGAATTTTACCAGTGTTGATAGTAAAATAACATTAGACCAATAATAGATAAATATTGGCATAATGGCTAAATATTAACTCAATAATGGCTAAATATTACTTTAATTTTGAATAAAAAATTGGCTCATAAAAATAATTAATAAATATTGATTATGTAAAGGCTAAACATTGGCTTAATAATTACTAAAAAGTGGCTTAATAATGGCTTAATATTAATCCAATAATAGCAAAACTTTGACCAAATAAAGGTTATATATTGATTTAATACTGGCTGAATATTGGCCAAATAAAGGCTAAACATTAATTAAACAAAATGAATAAAATTTATCACAATATTAGTTAATATTGGTCCCAATGTTTGTAGAAGGAAATATTGATCAAATAGTAGCTAAATTTTAATATAAAAATGGCTAAATATTGGCTGAATAAGGGCTAAATAGTCTAAATACTTTACCTAATGTTGGCACTAAGAAATATTAATTCGTTAACGATTAAATATTGATTCAATAATGGCTAAATATTAATCCAATAACAGCAAAATTTCGCCCCAAAAATAACTAATATTGATTCAATAATGGCTAAATATTGGCTTAATAATATCTAAATGACGAAAATATTTGTAGTAAGAAATATTCATCCAAAAATCGCTAAATATTGTCGTAATAATGGTCAAATGTTGATCCAATATTGACTAAATATTAAGCCAACAATGGCTAAATATTGGCCTAATATTAAAATTTAAAATTGTTTTTCGCAGTCATTGTCCAACATTGGTTGTAAAAATTTGACGAAAATTGGCAAAATATTTAGCCAGATTTAGATTATTGGCGACTATAAAAATTAGTCCAGTATTTAATTTCAGTCTTGTCAATTTCATTCTCGATTTTAAAAATTTTAGTTATTAAAATATAATCTCTATTTTAATGAATCAAAAATCGAGTTAAAAATATCATTTTTACATTAATTATTAAAAATGTTTAATTCATTTCATAAACTAGATAGCTTTTTCATCCTGGTAATGAAAAATAAAATAAAAAAATACATATTTCTAATTCTAGAATTAGTTTATAAATAAAAACCAAAAAAAATTAAAACTACTAAGACGAAAACTAAAAAAATCCCTATATAAACTATTCACCTTTTTTCCTTATTATTGACATTAAGAATTTTTTCAAATATAAGTGAAAAGAAATACATACATATGACTTCAAAAAAAAAGAAAGAAAAAAATTGTTATCTATATACCTACAGCGATATCTATATCTATTTATCTGTCTGTTTATAAGAAATTTCGATACAGAAATACGTGAATCTTGTTTTAAAAGAAAAAAAAAGAAGTGTGTGTATTTTTCTTTTGTGTTAAGATTGTCTTTTTAAAGTCAATTCGAAACATTGATTTCATTTGTTTTCTGATTTACTGTCTGTTAACTTTGTTAGCTTTCGAAGATATAAATATTTATTTACCCAGAGGAGACAGAGAAACGTTTTTCCCTCGGTCAAGAAATAAAATATATACTCGACATCATTCACCTCATCGTCATGAGAAATTTACTTTATTTTCTCTTTTAAAAATAGAGTATTTTCACTTTTTTTTCAATCCAACGAATTTTTATTTTGAAAAAAAAAGAATATTTTTGTTTTATTGAAAAATGATATATATAAAAACTTAGTTTTATAGAGATTAATATTTATGGAAAAAAATTTTCTAAAAAATTGTTTTTAGATAAGGCAATTTTTATAAAAATCAATTTTTATAGAAAGTAGTTTATATAAAAAATAATTTTTGTGGAAAGTAGTTTTTATAAAAAGTAATTTTTACGGAAAATAGTTTTTATAAAAAGTAATTTTTATGGAAAATAGTTTTTAGAAAAAGTATAATCTTTATAAAAATTAGGTTTTATAAAATATAATTTTTGCAAAAAAAAGTCAATAAATTGATTAAAATTAATATTTAACGGAAGTAATTTTATTTTTAAAGAGAAAATAAATATTTCAAAATGATTATTTTAACCAAAAATCAGTTTTCTAGATCTTCTGAATAAATATCTCATTTTCGACAAGCTATATGTGGACATATACATTTTATATTTAATTATACAGAGAAATCATAGAAATTCTTTTGTACAATTATGTATAGTTTTAAAATGATATATAGCTGTATATTTAAGCACAATAATTATTATTGTTGTGGTGACTAAATTACCACCATTGTTTTTGATGAGAGGTATTTAATTTATTCATTAGTAGCGTACAAATCACATTATGTGTGCTTCATCGCATTATGCAGTGAAAATATATATATACGTTTATACATATATACACAAATGGAAGTATAATATTTAATAAGATTATGCATATGCCCTACTTTTTTTTAATGGAATAAGAAATTGTATCACAATTTCAAATTTACGTTTAATAATAGAAGAGAATATTATTATTGTGTAAAACTGAATTAATTCGAATAATTATTTTTATTTAAATCAAACGCAGAAGAAAATGATTCACATATATTCACAAATAGAAGAAATAAAAAATAAATAAGACTAGAATTAATTTAGGATTATAGAAAAATTGAAAAAAAGGATGCGAACCACAAGTTTTGAACGTTGAAATGAAGGAAATATTCCTTTAGAAATTTTATTATTAATTTTTTTGATACGTGACGCAAAATTGTTGTAATGAAATTTTAATTTAAATATAAAAGAAAAATAAATTGTATTCTTTTAATTGTTCAGAACTTTAGAAATATTAAAAATGTGAATAATAAACAGTAATATAAATAATAGAATACATTATTTATAGTATAAATAATATAATTATTATGTAAAATGTACTTTTGGTAATAAATAATTAATAAAAAAGTGTAAAACAAATTTACGTTATTATTCTATTTACTCTTCTATTTATTTTTTATAACAAATTATTTTTAATTTATAATAACTAACTAAATGAAGTAATTTTCCACGTAATATCTTTAATATATTCAAATTTTATTAAATAATAATTTTATTATTAATTTCATTAATGATTTAACTATTAATTTTTTTTAATTCATTATTTACTAAGAAATAGTAGATTGATAAATAAAT